AGAACAACCGATACAGTCCACAATCGGGTGCTAGAGATACGGACACAATCACAGAACAACCGATACAGTCCACAATCGGGTGCTAGAGATACGGACACAATCACAGAACAACCGATACAGTTCACAATCGGGTGCTAGAGATACGGACACAATCACAGAACAACCAATACAGTTCACAATCGGGTGCTGGAGATACGGAGACAGTCCCAGAACAACCGATACAGTCCACAATCGGGTGTTTGAGATACAAAAACAATCCTAGAACAACCGATACAGTCCACAATCGGGTGCTAGAGATACAGAAACAATCCCAGAACAACCGATACAGTTCACAATCGGGTGCTGGAGATACGGAGACAATCCCAGAACAACCGATACAGTCCACAATCGGGGGCTAGAGATACAGAGACAATCACAGAACAACCGATACAGTTCACAATCGGGTGCTGGAGATACGGAGACAATCCCAGAACAACCGATACAGTTCACAATCGGGTGCTACAGATACGGAGACAATCACAGAACAAACGATACAGTCCACAATCGGGTGCTAGAGATACAGAAACAATCCCAGAACAACCGATACAGTTCACAATCGGGTGCTGGAGATACGGAGACAATCCCAGAACAACCGATACAGTTCACAACCGGGTGCTACAGATACGGAGACAATCCCAGAACAACCGATACAGTTCACAACCGGGTGCTACAGATACGGAGACAATCCCAGAACAACCGATACAGTCCACAATCGGGGGCTAGAGATACAGAGACAATCACAGAACAACCGATACAGTTCACAATCGTGTGCTAGAGATACGGACACAATCACAGAACAACCGATACAGTTCACAATCGGGTGCTACAGATACGGAGACAATCACAGAACAAACGATACAGTCCACAATCGGGTGCTAGAGATACAGAAACAATCCCAGAACAACCGATACAGTTCACAATCGGGTGCTGGAGATACGGAGACAATCCCAGAACAACCGATACAGTCCACAATCGGGGGCTAGAGATACAGAGACAATCACAGAACAACCGATACAGTTGACAATCGGGTGCTAGAGATACGGAGACAGTCCCAGAACAACCGATACAGTCCACAATCGGGGGCTAGAGATACAGAGACAATCACAGAACAACCGATACAGTTGACAATCGGGTGCTAGAGATACGGAGACAATCACAGAACAACCGATACAGTCGACAATCGGGTGCTAGACATACGGAGACAGTCCCAGAACAACCGATACCGTCGACAATCGGGTGCTAGAGATACGGAGACAATCCCAGAACAACCGATACAGTTCACAATCGGGTGCTGGAGATACGGAGACAATCCCAGAACAACCGATACAGTTCACAACCGGGTGCTACAGATACGGAGACAATCCCAGAACAACCGATACAGTTCACAACCGGGTGCTAGAGATACGGAGACAATCACAGAACAACCGATTCAGTCGACAGTCGGGTGCTAGACATACGGAGACAGTCCCAGAACAACCGATACCGTCGACAATCGGGTGCTAGAGATACGGAGACAATCCTAGAACAACCGATACAGTTCACAATCGGGTGCTACAGATACGGAGACAATCACAGAACAAACGATACAGTCCACAATCGGGTGCTAGAGATACAGAGACAATCACAGAACAACCGATACAGTTCACAATCGGGTGCTAGAGATACGGAAACAATCACAGAACAACCGATTCAGTCGACAATCGGGTGCTAGACATACGGAGACAGTCCCAGAACAACCGATACAGTCGACAATCGGGTGCTAGAGATACGGAGACAATCCCAGAACAACCGATACAGTTCACAACCGGGTGCTAGAGATACGGACACAATCACAGAACAACCGATACAGTCCACAATCGGGTGATAGAGATACGGACACAATCACAGAACAACCGATACAGTTCACAATCGGGTGCTGGAGATACGGAGACAATCCCAGAACAACCGATACAGTCGACAATCGGGTGCTAGACATACGGAGACAGTCCCAGAACAACCGATACCGTCGACAATCGGGTGCTAGAGATACGGAGACAATCACAGAACAACCGATACAGTCCACAATCGGGTGCTAGAGATACGGATACAATCACAGAACAACCGATACAGTCGACAATCGGGTGCTAGAGATACGGAGACAATCCTAGATCAACCGATACAGTTCACAACCGGGTGCTAGAGATACGGAGACAATCCTAGAACAACCGATACAGTTCACAACCGATAACATTTCAACATCTTTGTTATATGAGCATCGTAGTTTAGTCGGTAGTTTATGTATCAATGTTATTCATTTGATAATATTCGCCAAAGATTATTCGTATATTTGATTTCATAAGTAACGTCAGCGGTATAGATACTAAACGGTCAGTTTAAAATCATCGTAAATAGGACAAAACAAGACCGTCGAAAACATTATGTTTACACATGCTTATTATATAATGAGGCGAGAGATGGCGGTGTTTTTTTATGAATTTATCAGATTCTGAATTACTTTCATTTCAT